CTTCAAGGCTGGTTTACACTTCTGTGTCCGGCCTACACAGCGCTCCCTCTGTAGCCTCCGCAAGTAGCCTGAGCATTTCTACGTGTGCGTGGTCCGTGTTGCCGCGATGTACAGAGAGGAGATGTGAGTCAGGCTAAGGTCTAGGCCACAGCGGAGGGTACCTGGCTATGCTGTACTTGCAGCATACTGACAGGGTTGATTCTATGCAGAAAAATTAACCAGTTTTAAGGCCTAAGTGTGACATCTCACGCTCCTCTCCCCTCTCCTCCTTCACCTCCCCTCTTGTACTCCTGTCCCCTCCTCTCCTGCTCCCTTTTCCTCTCTTCTCCTTCCCCGCTGCCTCACAGGGTGTTTCTGGCTGAGCAGTTCGACTTCCTGCAGTCTCACCTCGACACGGTGATTCCTGCGGCAAAGAAGCCCTTCCTGCAGCAGTTCTACTCGCAGGTTAGACCCCTGTACCCTCATTTCGTCTCCAAAATTACTGTTTTATTTTTAGTTTGTTGTTATTTATTAATAAAAAGGTTTGCTGACTGAAATGAACCCCACCCTGCAATATGCCGGCCAGTCAGTGCCCCCTTTTTTTGCTTCACTTTTCAACCTACCCCTCCCCCAAACATTATCCCTCCACCTGAGCTATCTATTAATTTTGTCGTGTGAAAACATGTCTGACCCTCGCCATAAATAACCGAAAAATAAATAAAAGACAGCAGCCATTTTCAGGGAACAGTGTGTTACTCTGTGTGGGGCTCTATTAGGTGTCTGCTAGCTTGTGCTATTAGCACCAGCTAACCTAGTGTCCTGAAGGCCACCAGTTTATTTCCTGCTTCCGGCAGACGGTGTCTACGGCCAGCGAGCTCCGCAAGCCCATCTACTGGATTGTAGCCGCCAAGGCGATCGAATACGAGCAGATGTTGTTCCTCATGGCTGGCGTCAAGTGGGACATCAAGGAGATCATGTCCCAGCACAACGTCTATGTGGACGTCCTTCTTAAGGTAACCATGAGTTATGGCAAGCTGTCACAGTGAGGACCCAGGCCTCTCTCTACAGGCCCACAATACACCCTGCTTAAGCTGAAGTACTTGTAAAATAAACACCAAGTCTCTTTGAGTAAAACTTTCAGCCAAAACCCTAGACATGAACATGTTGTGCTGTAAGCGTTAGACGTTCCTACATGTTGTTAGAGTCAGATTAATATGAAACAGTCTATGAATCATTTTTCATTTGCTGGAGAAGTCCTGAGTGAATCTGCAGTTTTGAAAGGTATATGAACACTGACAACCCAAATGGACACAACAGTACGGACAAAATATATTCTATATACCAAAGATGTCAACAGAGGGATACAGCCACAGGGACTTTTATTTAATCTTATTCAGCTTTAAGAGAGTCTAAAAGCTGCTTGATCTTTCAACTTTGATTTGGGTTTGAGATCTGGCTGTGAGTCATTAACTAACTACAGCCGGAGCTGATGGCATATCTATATAGAGGGAAAACTCACTTTAAGAGTGTGTCAGGGATTGTTTGTGTGTGTGTGTGTGTGTAAGTATATATATATATATCTTTGTGTGTGTCTATGTGCCAAATAGGATGTTTGTAATTGGGGAAGGAGACGACTTCAGCATCCCCCGTCTCTCAGGAGGTTTTTGCAGAGCTCATTCTGACCACACGCTGTGACCGCTAAGCCTCCGCCGTGACCTCACTGCCCACTGGCGGATCATACCTGTGGTCCTGATTGGAACTTAAGCGGCCCAAGAAATACTTTTCCCAGCTGAAGCTCCACTCCTGGGAATAGTCCCGTGAGCGAGGTCTCGCTACATGTCCTATACGCCGCGCATTAAATCCAGGAATGACTTTTTTCTGGGGATAGTCCCCCAGGCACCATCTGAAGGTGATTTCTCTAAATGCTTGCATGGTTTGATTGAGTCATCATTTTCTACTGCCCTTCCTGATGATTTTTTTCTTCAAGATATTTCCTAGAGTCGGTGCCAAATTCCAAAAGCAAATGTAGAACAGGATCCGTAGCTCAAACTCAGTAGTATCAGCAGCTGCGTGTTACGGCTTGTATGTGTGGAGTTTACAGCCGTAAACCAGGCTATGATGATTCCATAATATACCAGACATATATGGATGATAGGTACTTTAACAGCAATATTAAATAATGTATTTTTCTCAAATATAAACACTGATCGTATGCTGTTAGAGGAATCAGAATCAGAGCGTGTAGTTAAAACTGAATGTTTGATATGCTTTAATTATGGTATAAAGTTATTTTTTATGAGTGTGAGGTTGGGTGGCCATGGCACCATGTATGTGGAATTTGCGTGTTCTGCCCGTGTTGTCTTGGGGTTTCCTCTAGCTACTCCAGTCCCCCCCCCCCCACCCCCTCAGTTATTTCATAAGTGGTACAGGAATCAAATGATGATGTTCCCAAGTATTGTGATAAAACAGCTAGTGTCACAGAATTGTAACCAGAGTTTTCTCTACTTGTGTCTTCAGCCTAGTCTGTCATGCCATTTGTTTGAGGAACGCATGGGAAAGGCCAGATCTGCAAGTCAGAACAATTCCAAACATGGGTTATCGTTTGACAGCTCGTACGCACCTGGTCTCACAGGGAATGTTTTCCCACCTATCCTGGGAATTTGGTAGAAATCCGTGTACCTGCCTTTGCCCCGCAAATTAAATCGCCACATGCCAGCACCGTGGGGCCAGCAGAAATGCATGCTGGTATTTCAGCACGCTTAAGTGATGCGTGACTGCGGGCAGTCGGTACGTACGCATTCGCCTTCTGCCTGGGCACTTCTGAATAAATTAAATTAGGTAATATTTCCAGTAAAATTTCTTCATGATGCCTAATTGATCTCTCTTTTCCCTTGAATAGTAAGTTTTGCTAAATTAATTGAGATAATTATTGAGTGTCTATTACATAAATGCATGTATATAAAAATAGCTATATAACAATATGAACAGTTACAGTGATTGTCCTAATGACATGATTATTATAATGGTGGTAATTTACATTGTTAATCTCAGGCACTTACTTGGACTATTATGCAGATACGGATATTTTTTTTTTTTTCTGTGTTTATATGGTCTGTATCTGTTTATTTATATATATATATATATATATATGTGTGTGTGTGTGTGTGTGTGTGTGTGTAAAAAAATCTATCAACCAGGTTGTTTTTCTGGCAGAAACGAACTGAGAAAATCATCACGTGTTCATCTCATAACAGAACATAAATGGAAATATTATTTTTGATGCTCCAGTAAGAATGGTAATTTCTTTGTATATGCTTCCATATTTCACTGCTTAAAGCAGTACATTCTTTCTAACCCTGGCTTCCAGTAATGATGGCTGGCATTATTATAATAATAGCCATCTTTCCAAGGGAATAATGTCTGTAAGAGACTCTTAATAACTACTTGGGAAGCTTGAGTTTTGTTCCAGCTTAGGGTTTATCACTCTGTTGTCAGCCCAGTCTCAATGGCTGTTACGTTTTCCTTCCCATCGCGATCGTTCTCGGTCCATCACCGCCTTTGATGTCTGTTTCCTTGCTTCATTATGGATATTATCGATGATTCTCATTTGTATCCTAATGCATGTTGTTATGTATAGTATATGCGATGCTGCGTTGCTGACATGCTCCCCGGCCTTGTGCTGCCTGCGATAGATACGCTAGCCATCCAGCCATAAACCCCGGGAAGATTATGTGGTTTGAAGACAGATGGATGGATTATTTATGTATGGAGTTTGCATGTTTCCTGTATTTTCCTGGTTTTTTTTTCTGGATACTTTAGTATCTTCCCGCTGTTGAAGAACATTCTGTGCGTGTTATTGTAATTAGCCATAGATTAGCCGTAGCCAAAGGCACCATGTTTTTCATTTTTGCATTTTTGCTGGTTTGTTGTTTTCCGTTCCTTACCCGTTTGTGTGTTTAAATGACCACTGGTGACCGCAGAGACATGTGACTTTGTCCCCATTTCGGGTAACCTTAGTGCAAAGCACAGCATCGGGGCCTCCCAGAGGCCGTCAAAACGTGCACAATGGCTCCACGCTTATTCTGAAGAATGCGACGTAATATCCGCAAGATAGAATGCGATGGCCGAAAGGAAAATAGAACCGGTGCCGTTGCAGCTGAAACAACACACAGCAGCGGCTGTTCAAGAGCACAACTGGGCCGCTGGATCGCATGCTTGAGCCAGGATGGTTGCCGTCTAAATGCGTGACCTACAGGTTTATTTTAGGCTGCTGCAATACGATGGGCTGGGAGCTCACTCTGGCAGAGGCAGACTTTAACTTCATTTCAGGTCTAAACAGTCATATTTCACCACACCTCTCTGGGGGAGTGAAGGGTTAATCTACGTTCTTGCGAGGTTCGATTCACAACCAGCTGCAAAAAGTCTGTGGATTTTCCTCCCTCCCCCCCCTGCAGGAGTTCGAGCAGTTCCATAAGCGACTGGGGGATGTCTCCAGGCTGGTGAGGATCCCCCTGCCCGTGTCCAACGTGCTGTGGGAGCAGTGCATCCGGCTGGCCAACAGGACCCTGGTGGAGGGGTGAGCGGGGCCGTCTCTGGAGAAACATCAAGCGGGGAGGCAAATATTTACACAGCGGCCCCAAGAGAAAATCAATCACCTTCAGTCAGAACCGTGGCGCAGCTTTGGATCTTGTCGGATTATAAATAATGTTTTTAATGCAGAAATGGGGTGTGTGGGTGTGTTACGACATCAGATGGCTTGGTGACATGTTTGTGTGCACTGAAACGTGAGCCGGCCGCTGCTTTGCCGCGGCGATCTTAACTGTTATGAGGTCGCCACCGCCGCCACCACTGCCGCCCACGATTCTCGGTCCAGCGGCGATTAGTCTGCAGATAGACCCGTCACGACTGCGAGCCACGCGCCTTCGACACCTTGCTGAAAAAAGTCTGGAATATACATGCTTATTTGGAGGCGGAAGATCGTATTCGACGAAGCCATTGGCCGCGTCGGAATGATAAACACCACAACGTGAGCGAGGCGAATGTACGCACGGGCAGACTTCCCGCCGTCTGTGTGAGCGTCCAGCCGGCGGCTCCTGCTCGCTGATGGACATCCTGACATTTCATATGACCACGCCGTTTGTTTTGCCACTGTCCCATCATGCCTTTGTGTATTTTCCCTGGCAGTCGGGGTGAGACATTATTTAATTTACTACATCCATCCATCTTCTTGCTTATTTTGGTCAGGGTTGCGGGGAGGGGGCACCTTTCCATCACGAGGTGCATGTACGAGCAATCGTGCAAGTACTGCCCTGCAATTTCCATGTCAGCTGCATGTCTTTGGGCTGTGGGCAGAAACCAGAGTAGTCAGAAGAATCCCACACAACATGGAGTGAATTTACAGACTCAGTGGCACACACACACACACACACACACACACACACGGCAGAGGTGGGTTTCGAACACCTAGTCCTACGGGCGTAAGGCAACAACAGGGCCACCCTGTTCATTTAATGCAACGAAAAATAGTTTTACTATCAAAATGGACCTTAGGAGGAGCCAAAAAAAAATGAAAACAGTAAAGTGCCTGTCAGAGGGATGCAAAACTTTTAAAACGTGATCACCATACAATCAAAAAGACAAAAGAAGTGTTTAGTGGGAAGACTTTAGCATCAAGTGCCATCATTTTTCAGAACTGCAATGTGAATGGATTGTCTGGAAGTAATGGGTGTAGTATGTCACAAGATCCCAAACACTCAATCACAACCTCAACTCAACAAGGCATACAAGCTCAAATGTCAAGAATGGCCACAGACACATCTGAAACTGATTCTGCAAAGGTTCTGTGGACATATGAGATGAGAGCGACTTGATGGACTACATGGATGGGCATGTGGATGGACACCTTCAAGTACCAACAAGGTTGTGGAGGAGTGATGACCTTGTAGTACCTTTCTGACTTGCAGATGGTGTAAAATTTAACTCATTCATGCAGGGCAATGCCCCTTTCCATGCATCAAAGCATTCCATAAATTAGCCAAGAAAGGCTTGAACGGGGATCTAATGATGACCTGACCGCATCACATAACTTAACCCCCATTGAGAACTACTGGGCCTTACTGAAGTGTGAGATTTAGCAGGCAGTAGTAGGCAGTACCCTTCTCAGAGCACCTGGGAGGAGGTCCTAGCTGCCTCAGCTAATGTAGGACAGGATCGAATCAAAACCTTGACTGGTGCAATGGATAAGAGGCTCATGACGGTCAATGGCTAGAAAGGTGGCTATGCAGGACATTAAGCTTGGTAAAGTGGACTGTATAGAACAGCCGAGAGTTTGGTATTCTTTGTATAGATTGAATAACTGAAATTGTTTTTTATTATTATTTCTGTTGAAGTGAGAAAAATCCACTTAGTTTTCTGAAGGCCTAATAATTATACTGATAATCAAGTCTTCTTAAATTAGTCTGTAGCTAACAAAAATTAAACATTTTCTCTAAAGAATTTTGCAATGAGCAAAAAAAACTTATCACTCTGCTTAAGTCATGCTGAAAATTATTATCAAGAATAGCACTTGTCTAATAATCTTGCACGCAGTGTAGAATAGTTTAGTTGAGGGGTGATGTCTTTAATGGTGTATGAAAAGGCAGCGGAGGAGAGAAAAGGCATTCTGTCATCGCATCGAGGGAAAATGGACAACGCGTTAAAAATACTATTTATCGGAAGTCGCCTCTCCGGAGAAGCACCATTTCCACTCTATAGCGTTCGCTGTGCTCGGTACGCCTGGATGATTGCATCTTATCAAGCCTCAGCTTTTTGTGCAGTAGGCTGTGGGCCTCAGAGGGTTTGCCCCCCAATCTGTGGAACTCCCCAGGGTCGCCGCAGATCCACCTTTTGGTATCGTAAGAGATCTCTTACCAGAATCATCAAGCCGCTACTTATCTGCTCCGAACTGGAATGCTGAGCTCGGTTCAGCGTCCTGCGATGTCTGCCCCCCACGGTCATGCGTGTTCTGAGCGTGTTTGACCGTCATGTCAATGCCACCCATTTATCGCATATGGGGCTGGCCGTGCTGTTGCCCTGTGGTTCTGCTGACCGCGTTCCCTGCTCTTGTGTCCGCCAGCTACGCCAATGTGAAGAAGTGCAGTAATGAAGGGCGGGCGTTGATGCAGCTCGACTTCCAGCAGTTCCTCATGAAGCTGGAGAAGCTGACCGACATCCGGCCCATTCCCGACAAGGAGTTCGTGGAGACTTACATCAAGGCCTACTATCTGACGGAGAACGACATGGAGCAGTTCATCAAGAACCACAGGGTGAGGGTTGCTTCAGTTCAGGTTCGCTGTCGATGTGGAGAGCGCTTGCGAGATTTCGGGGGTGGTGCTGAGGGTGATGGAGCGAAGCAGGACATCGAGAGTTTGACACCAAGGCTTCTGTGGTGTTCATCATTTCAAGGGTGCAAAAAAATTCTTACTTGGTAATCTAGAAAATTCCCAGCACCCTCCCACTTTGAGTTTCTGACACTGCTCTCATTGCACACACTGTAACAGTAATTGCATGTAATGTAATATGTTGTTTTGATTTATAAGTTTTATCAGTTAATGCAATGGCTGTACTGGCCAGCCCAGCCATTACTGTCACCATTGTGTTTCTCATGTGTTTGCACATTACAGGCATCCTTTAAAAAGTCAGTGTGTCAAAGCACCATAAATTGGGCTCTTGGGTGGCTGTACAGCATTTAAATCCTTTTCTTCTCTCAGTTTTTCTGGAATCCTACTGGAAACGCTGCGTACAAGCCTGTTTCTTCCATTGGCCGCAATTTTATAAACATTATCCTGGTTGTAGGTCTTAGATTTCACAAATTCCTGCATCTCGCCTGCATTGAATGGAAAGATACTGAAAATTTGGTGGGGAAAGTTGGAGAAAGGGATGCCGTTGATCACATGGCTGGCAGAAATTAGCTCCTCGCTCTGGCTTCGATGATGAGCCGTCACGCGTGTCTTTATTGGACAGGAGTACTCCATGAAGCAGCTGACCAACTTGGTGAACGTCTGCTTGGGGTCTCACATCAACAAGAAGGCCAGACAGAAGCTGCTGGCGGCCATCGACGACATCGACAGGCCCAAAAGATAGCCTGGACATGGGCCCCTGGACCCCGTCCACCGTGCATGCTGTATGTTTCGAGACTTTAGGGCCTCTGCTTTCCATCTACACCTCGTGGGAACCGCCAGCTGTCCATTAAGACTGTAATATATTCAACACTGTTTTAGCGTTGAGAGACGTTGGGTGGAGATAGGATCTTGTGGGTTTTTTTTTTTTAAAGTTTCCCTTCTTCTGCCTTGTCTGCTTGTTTTTATGCAGGCAAATCTGCCTCAGCTCCTGTATAGCTAATTGGAGTTTGTGTACAAATTGAGTATAGACACACTCATCAACCGCAGCACTGCCCTCTGTCGACTGTAGCTGACAGTGGCTATATATAACTGTGTTTTATTTGTGGTCAGTTTTCTTGTTAATTAGGTAATCATACTGACAGGCCCTGGATGCTAACCACGCTTTAATTTTGATCAAGAATAACATAACAGGTGCATTTAGTGGTCTAGTTATTAATTTCTGCAGCTGTGTCTTTGGCTTTGTGATATCAGAGGGGCGTGTGACATGCTCTGTACCCCAGCTGCTCATGTCACTCTCCTGCGATACTGTACCCTCGTCACCTGTAATATTGAAAATGACATGGGAATCATCTGTACAATGTGAAGAGAAAAACAGTGTCCGTGGGCTGCCTGAGAGACCTGGGCAAACATAAGAGAATGAAATAAAAAACACACTAGCAGGTTTTCTCCGCATGAGCAGCGTTTTGTTTTATTGTGTGGTTTAAAATAACTCATAATGTGATTTGGGTCGGAAGAGAGAACAGATTCACGACCGCAGATGACAGGAGGGTACGGGGATCCAGTTTGGGTCTTAAACAAATCAGGCAAGCAGAAAAGAGTGGTCTGTCCCATCTGTCACTTCTGTGGCACTTTTTGCCTTTGCTTATGTTTGGTCTCCTTCCGGAGATGACACTGCATCTTATAAGATCATTTTAAGGGTGCCCCCCCCCCCCACCGCACGTATTTTTTCTCTTTTGAGAGGGAGGTCCCTGAGCTCTTATAGGGGGTCCTGGAATCCCCATCAGTTCAAACATTGTTCCCCTTACGTAGTTCAGTCATGATCCACTGATCCAGGATCAGGCTTATTCTTTCAGCTGGACCTGATGCTTATAGTTCCGGATGCCCTGCACTCGGCAGGAGGTGTTGGGGTGACAGGCCCCTGTGGTCTGTGAAGACACTCAGTTGAGACACAGGAAAAGGGAAAGACTAAATCTGTACAAACACATGGTTCCCAAGTGTAATATTTATAGTGCCACACTCTGCCCTCTTGTGCAGTTCTGAGTCATATGGCTGTCGGCCGTTTTTACAGCAGAAATGTGACAGGACTCCGTTCAGATTTCTCTGTCCGCTCTTTTCTGTGCTTTTCTTTGACTAGAAGTGACAGATGGCTGAAAGACGAGGACAGCGGGAACCCACTGATGCGAGCGGCGTTCTGATATTTGGGATGCGGAAACGCTAAGAGCAGACTTGCAGTGAGCAGTTATATGCCGTTGCTTTGCAGCTGGGGCAATTATCTGATAAAAGAGAATGTGCTATCGATGTGAATTTGAAACAGAGAAAATATTAACGTGCTAAATTTTCAACTTTTTAGATGAAGACAGTCCAAATGTTCACCTATTCAAGACTGAGCTTGAGACTCTAATATACCTAACCACGAAGTGCTCAAAGCAGTAGATTCAATTACCAAGACAAAGTCGGAGGATGTGACCTCAATATAAGCAGCAAAACAAAAATTCACCTGAACCGAGATCCTAACTGCTCTTCCTGAAACCGAAACTACTGATTTTCTCCACAAACTTAATGCAGATCACCGCATACAATGGGGAAAAAAACAGCAACTAAAAGACTAATTTCCGCCCCATGAGTATTTGCTTTGTTGTGGTTCTCTGTCCCTTTGACGTTACTATGGCTAACTGGCCACTTTCTCCAGCTTCCCAGTTAATTACAGAGCCAGTCTGACGTTAGTGACCTGTGCCCATGCTTCCCAACTGTCATTTAACCTGACAATTTTTCCCTCAGTTACTTTCCCTGAGCTGTAATCATATTTTAAGCACGATGGACTCTGTCTTCCTGGTGTCTGACCACCTGCTGCTGTGCTAATCAGTCCTGCTGTCACATTCCTGAATGAAAGATGCAGCAAATCATAATCATCCACCCCTGTTAGCGTTTTCTTGTTATCGTTCCATTGTTTGACTGGCTGGCAAAAAATACATTACACCTCCACATATATATATATATAGACACACACACACATACATTCTTACCTATATATATATAGACAGAGACACACACACACATCTGATTCACAAAGGTGAAATAGAAATATTCTGACGTGTTAGTTTAAATCCATACTTTTCCATTCAGCGTATCCAGTATGGGGTCATTGTCAGTTTGTTGCATATCCCAGGATGACACCCTGGGTGGGACACCAGTCCATTACAGGGGGCATTCATAGAAATGGTCAGTATAGTGATGTTACTGCACCAAAGCGCATGTTTCTGCACTCTGGACACAGATAGAGACACAGGAGAGCTTACAATCCCCTACGCATGTCAAGTGGGTGGGATTTACACCTACAGTGCGGTGTGACGCCGTACTGCTGCCAAATTTATCACATTCATACAGAAAATATAATCCAGATAAATGCAGCTCTCTGCCAAGAACCTGATGACATGCAATCTGACAAGCACAAACAACATCTAGTAAAATGAGAGAATGGTTGTCCTAGTATATGTTGGTGCTTAGATGTTTTAAGTTTTTTTTAATTTGTGTGCATTTTCATTTTGTAATACTTTCTTCATTCCATATCTTACCTCTTAAAAGTGCATATATACCTGGAGGCCCTACTGCGGTCAATAGGCAGTCCAAGAAGGGGACCTCAACGGAACCATCATTGACTAGCAAAACTGGCTTTAAGAACATGGAACATAACCTCTGTTGTGGGAAAGGAGCCGTAGCTGGTGTGAGAAGTAGAGAGATACTGCCCAGTCAGTGTCGGGCTCACCTCAATGCATGGCTCAGGCTCTGGAACCAAACTCCTGGAGATGGACTGGACTCTGTTCCACTCTGGAGTTGCCCTGGGTGAGACGCGTTGGGCAGGCATGGGTCTATTGATAGCCCCCCAGTTAGGCGCCAGTATGTTGGAGTTCACCCCAGTGAATGAGAGTTGCCTCCCTTTGGCTTTGAGTCGGGGGACAGGCTCTGACTGTTGTCTGTTGATATGCACTAGTTTAGAGTATCTGACCTTCTTGGAGACTTTGGCTGGGGTGCTTGAAGGCACTCCCTTTGGGGACTCCATTGTTCTGCTGGGCAACTCTCGTAGGTAAAAATAGTGAAACCTTGAGGGGTGTGATTGGTCGAGCATAAGGCTGCTCATAAGTGCACCTGGCACCAGAGCACCCTAGGCCAGAGCTCAGTGATACGTTTTATAATTATATTGTTGGATCTATGACCTCAAGTCTTGCACACTTGGGTGAAGAGAGGAAGTGGGCTTTCAACTGATCACCACCTGATGGTAAGTGTGTCCTGAGGGTGTGCTGGGAGTGCCTGACAATGTCCAAGAGATCTTTAAATCGTTTCTCCAACAGAACTTCTCTTTCATCCCAGGGAGACTGGTGACATTGAGCCTGAATGGGCAGTGTTCTGAGCCTCCTTTGATGAGGCGGCTGTGTAGAGCTGTGGCTTTAACGTTGTTGGTGCCTGTCGCATTGATGGAGACCTTTCAAGCTTGGTTAGCCTGTGGGACCCCTGAAGCAGTTGACAGACACTGGCAGGCTAAGCGGAAAACGACTTTGGCAGTTGCAGAAACAAAAAACACGGGTGTGGGAGAAGTTTGGTGAGGACATGGAAAATTACTTTCAGTCGGCCTCAGAAATATTCTGGCAACTTAGGCAAGGGAAACAGGGCTTCACCCATGCTGTTTACAGCAGGGATGGAGCGCTGTTGACCTCAAATGGGGATATACTAGGGCAGTGGAAGGAGTATTTCAAGGACCTCCTGAATCCCACTGACAAACCTACCTGGAGGAAGTAGAGCTGAAAGACTCATTTTAACATCACTAGGGCTGAGGTCACTGAAGTAGTCAAAAACTCTTTGGTGGTAAAACATCAAGGGTGGATGAGATTCGCCCTAAGTTCTTGATGACTCTTGATGTTGTTTGGCTGCCTTGGCTGACACGCCTCTTCAACATTGCGTGGACGTTGGGGACAGTGCCTTTGGAGTGGCAGACTGAGGTGGTGGTCCCAATCTTTAAAAAAAAGGGTACCAAAGTGCATTGTTACAGGCCATTAACTGGAGTGAGAGTTTGGTTTGCATTTCTGGCAGTAAGTCAGACTCATTCACTCAGCGGGGTCAGACTCCACCGGGGCCACCGTTTGTCACCGATCCTGTTTTTCGCAACCAATTGGAGGAAGGGTTCTGGTTCAGTGACCTCAGCATCACATCTTTCCTTATTGCAGGTGATGTGGCCCTCTTCGCCAGGCTTTGACATTCAGCATGCACAGGAGTGGTTTGCAGCTAAATGTAAAGCAACCGGGATACGGATCAGCACATCTAAATCTGAGGTTCTCAGTTTAGGTGGGCACACTCTACATGAAGTCTGTACAGCTGACTTTCTTCAAGAAAATTCATATTATTTTCTGTGTTCTTTGGAGTTTGATCCTTTGTTTATTACCAGATATTGTTTCTCGTGTCTACTGTTCTTCATCATGCCTGAACTGCTGCGCGAGTCGTGTCCTTAAGTGACTTTCTGGTTTTGAAGTGATGCGTCATAAAAATATGCATAAAGCCTGAATACCTCGCTGTCTGTGAGCTCAAAGCGGTGAGCAAAGACCATAATGCAGCCTGGCAGCTGCTGGAAGCAGCCAAGCTTTCACGTCGCCCCTTACTGGTCATGCATGATATAGATTCTCCATTTTTTAATTAACTGTTATTGCTAGTATCTGTTATTGACTTGGTGTGGGAGGAACTGGAACATTTGACAGAGGAGCATGTTAAAATGCATGTATTATATGTCATTTTACTGTATTAATCATAAGTTATATTGATAATCATTATTTAGGAAAAGAGATATAAGGGGAGAAATGAGAAAAAGTAATTGCCCATATAAATTGATTCTTGTTTTTCAATTAATGTTAAATACAAACCTCCATTAAATGCAATTATATTTTGTCTCCATCTCCAGATCTACAATCAAATCTAAAATCTAATTTGAAAAGGCCATTTGCAAAAGTGATGGTTTTACAGGGGCTGGACAATCACAGGGCTGGTTCTGACACATAAACCTTTACTGCTCGCTTGCAGCGATATGGACGTCGTCTCGCTGTCGGGCCGACTAGCAGCTTATCAAGCGCTTACATTCCTCAGCGCTGCCTTTCAGCTCGTTCCAAGGCACAACTGCCACACGTTTTGTTTGGCTGCATTTACCTTTTTATTTTTACATAGCCTGGGCCTGACTCAATATGTGTTTCTGGATGATGAAATTTGTCCACAGTTCATATACACCAGTAGTTTTAAAAATGGATTTTCAATAATTTCCCGTTACCAGCCATCTCTCTTTGCATAGGATTCTGTATTAGTCTTTTTTTTTTTTCTTTGCTTTCTGGACCATCACTTGCAGGCCAGAAGCGGATTATTGTGCTTTAATGGTTTTTACAGGTTAATAGCCTTCTAGCTGTCAAACCAAAAAGATTAAT